TAGCTATCAACATGCATCCAAGAGCTCTGGAGACCGCCCCAGGACGGCTCCAAGTGCCTTTCGAGCCCTCCAAGGAAGCCCTCAAGAGGCCAAAATCATTCAAATCCTGTATGTTTTTCCGATGTTTTTTGCATTGTCACCCTTTCGCGCCCGATGGCCTCTTGAGGCCTCAAGATGGCTTCTGGATGGCCCAAGAGGGCCCCAAAAGGGGCCCAGGGGGGCCCCAAGACCGCCCCAAGAACACCCAAGACCGCTCCAAGAGCGGCCCACGAGGGCCCCAAGAGGTTCATTTTCGGGCCCCGACGGGGGGACGCAGTTAAGGACCCCCCCGTCCCCGACTCGACCATGTCCTATTGAATTCCGATTCAAAAACAAATAAATGATTAAGGAATTCCTCCGGCGGCTGGGACTCGACCATTTCCTATCGAATTCCTATTTCAGCGTTCCGAAGGATCCAACCTGTTTATACTAAGTCCCCGCGCAGGTCACTCCGATGCCCCCCCCCCCCCCAGCAGCCCTCGAAAGTGGCGACAGTTTCGCAGACCGCAGCCCCCCCAGGGATGGCGAAGTCAAATCTGTAGGGTCCCTTGGGAATCCTATGGGGTCCCTGAGGAATCCTATGGGTTCCCTTAGGAATCCCACTGGGGATCCTATAGGAATCCTGTTGGAATCCTATAGTAATCCTATGGGATCCCTTAGGAATCCTATGGGATCCCTTAGGAATCCGATGGGATCCCTCAAGAATCCTATAGGATCCCTTAGGAATCCTATAGGATCCCTTAGGAACCCTATGGGGATCCTATAGGAATCGTACGGGAATCCTATGGGATCCCTTAGGAATCCTATGGGATCCCTTGGGAATCCTATGGGGTCCCTGAGGAATCCTACTGGGATCCTATGGGAATCCTATTGGAATCCTATAGGCATCCTATGGGATCCCTTAGGATTCCTATGAGATCCCTTAGGAATCCGATGGGATCCCTGAGGAATCCTATAGGATCCCTTAGGAATCCTATAGGATCCCTTAGGAATCCTATGCGGATCCTATAGGAATCGTATGGGAATCCTATGGGCTCCCTTAGGAATCCTATGGGGATCCCTTGGGAATCCTATGGGGCCCCTTAGGAATCCTATGGGATCCCTGAGGAATCCTATAGGATCCCATGGGATCCCTTAGGAATCCTATGGAATCCCTAAGGAATCCTACAGGATCCCTTAGGAATCCTATGGGGTCCCTTAGGAATCCTATGGGAGCCCTTAGGAATCCTATGGGATCCCTGAGGAATCCTGTAGGGTCCCTTGGGAATCCGATGGGGTCCCTGAGGAATCCTATGGGATCCCTTAGGAATCCTACTGGAATCCTATAGGAATCCTATGCGGATCCTAAAGGAATCGTATGGGAATCCTATGGGATCCCTTAGGAATCCTATGGGGATCCTATGGGTATCCCTTAGGTACCCTGAGGAATCCTATGGGATCCCTGAGGAAGCCTATGGGATCCCTTAGGAATCCTATAGGAATCGTATAGGAATCCTATGGGATCCCTAAGGAATCCTATAGGAATCGTATAGGAAACCTATGGGATCCCTAAGGAATCCTATGGGATCCCTGAGGAATCCGATAGGGATCCCTCAGGAATCCTATGGGATTCTACCAGGACCCCTTCCGCGGCCGCGGAAGGGTTGCTGGGGTTGCTGGGGTTGCTGGGGTTGCTGGGGTCCCCCCGGGCCGGTCTAATCGTCCTCATTCAACAACAACAACAACAACAGCAACAGCAACAGCAACAGCAACAACAACACCAACACCAACACCAACACCAACACCAACACCAACACCACCACCAACACCAACACCAACACCAACACCACCACCAACAACAACAACAACGCCGGGAATGAATTTTAGCAAAGAAGGAGTCCGTCAGGACTCCGGTACTGCATCGGAATCGTGACCTACGTGTGCGCACTAGAGAAACGAGGGATTCTATAGAAAACCTAGAAGGATCCTATAGAAACCCTGCACGCATCCGATAGAAACCTTACAGGCACTCGATTGAAACGCTACATGCATCCTATAGAAACCCTACAGGCACCGTATAGAAACCTTCCAGGCATCCGATACAAACCCGACAGGGATCCTATACAAACCCTGCAGGCATCCTATAGAAACCCGACAGGGATCCTATAGAAACCCTGCAGGCATCCTGAAGAAACCCTACAGGCATCCTATAGAAACCCTAACAGGCATCCTATAGAAACCCAAGAAACATCCGATGGAAACCCAAGCATCCGATAGAAACCCGACAAGCATCCGATAGAAACCCTGCAAGGCATCCGGTAGAAACCCTAGAGGCATCCGATAGAAACCCTACAGGGATCCTATAAACACCCTACACGCATCCTATAGATTTCCTTCAGGCATCCTGTATAAAGCATACAAGCATCCTGTAGAAACCCTGCAAGAATCCTATAAGAACCCTACAACGCCCTATAGAAACCCT